GCATTCCACTCCCTGATGGTCCTGGCCCTGCATCACATGCAAGCCCCTCATCTGAGTCTCACTCTCCGAGACCTCAGCCATCTGCACCTGCTGCTGGTGAATCACGACAACTTCATGTTCTTGTACTTCTATTGGTTTTTGAGTTTATAACCAGAACCTTCTAGGTCAGCAGTCGCCAACTGGTGGGCTGCGGCCCACCGGTGGGCTGTGAGAAAATTTTGGTTGGCTACAGAGAAATTTCACCCCTAGAGCACCCCCGCCAAAGCAATTAATCCAGGCTGCGCAGAAACACAAGGCTGCGCCACCCACATGGCCTGCGGAAACCCTCCCCGCCCACTCACTCCTTACCCAGTAAACTTGCCTGCTAAATTTCTATTTTTCCTTTTTCTGACCATCATCTGTTCTGCTGTGCCGGGAGATTTAGATTAGCTAGGAAGCAGGAAATTGTTGGATTTCTTGCTTTCTAGCTAGTCTTTAGATCTTCAGCTCTGCTTTTAAGTACAGCAGAACTTCCCTTAGGACTGAAGGTTTGCTTGCAAACTCACAGCAAGCAAATTTGAGAGACTGAGCTAGCCAATGGCAGATAGATAGATCACTGAATGATTCTGTGAGCAACTCAATCTGCCTGCTTTGCCTGATTTTGGATAAAAGTTGCTCTTTTTTAAAAATAAAAATTTCAATATTTACATGCATGGTGTGTTGTGAGTTAATTTTGTGAGTTTGCTTGCAAGCAAATTTTATGTGACAGACTGAGCTAGCAAATGGCAGATAGATTTCTGAATGAATCTGTGATTCTGTGAGCAACTCAGTCTGCCTGCCTGCTTTGCCTGATTTGGGGTAAAAGTTGCTCTTTTTTTATAAAAAAATCAATATTTATATAAATATTTATAATATTTACATACAAGCCATGCCCAGCCAGTCACATGACCACCAAGCCACACCCACAAATTAGGCCATACCCACAGAACCAGTTAGTGGTCCTTGGAATCTAAAATTATGAGTTTGGTGGTCCCTGAGGTCCAAAAGGTTGGCGACCCCTGTTCTAGGTGACATCACCAGGCTTGAAATTTTGGGCTTAGACAACCTAGAACTACGCTGCCTACGGTTGGACTTAAGTGTAGTACACAAAATTATCTGCTACAATGTCCAACCAGTCAATGACTACTTCAGCTTCAACCACAATACAAGTGCACACAACAGATGCAAACTGTTAAACTGTCCCAAACTTGATTGCAGAAAGTACGACTTCAGCAGCAGAGTGGTCAATGTCTGGAATGCACTACCTGACTCTGTTGTTACATCCTCTAACCCCCACTCCTTTAACCCTTAAACTATCCATTATTGACCTCACCCCATTCCTAAGAGGTGTGTAAGGGGTGTGCATAAATGCACCATCATGCCTCCCGTCCCTGTCCTATTGTCCCCATTTATTCGTACCTATTTCCTGTATTCTTACTCATGTTTATACTTATTCCTATTATCTCGTAAGCAATTAACAAATAAAATAAATAAATAAACAATAGGTCTTTGTCTCTTCTCTTTCTCTTTTCTCTCAAGCTGTTTTATAGGATGTAAGGTAGATTCTGCAAAGAATAGCTTTATTGGATTTCTCATATTGGCACAGATCTGGTGAAAACTGACTCTGAAGGTTCCTGAGGTTTTCACCTAATAAAAGTAAAAGTTTTTCACTTTCTCAAGACAATCAGTCACATGGTCCAATCACAATGCTGTCTGGTTGCCTGGTGATATCACACCACCTTCCTCTGACCAGGTGTGAGAATGTCCTTGGTTCCCAAGAGAAAGTATTTTGTTTTGGCTACAGAATCCCAATTATCTCAAATCCCCCATCCCTAACCCTCAACTACAGTGTAGCAACACTGAAGCCTCCAAGATGGCTTTGGTCAGACCAGCTTCAGGGTTGACAATTGCCTTCAGAAAGTCAAATTCAAATATTTACTTTCTTGATAACTGTATAATGAACCTCACAAACTATAAACCTTGAAGAAACAAGTTAATTAAGACTAAGAGCTACTCTCAAGATATTTGACCGTTATTCTTAGTCACATTGATTTCAACTGTGCTTGAGGAATTTAGCTATCACTTCTTCCATCGAACTCTGCTGTTCCACCAGATCTCCGTTTTTCCAGAGTGCCTGCTAATTAGGCTATCTTGTTCGATATAACCTGCCTTCCATCGAGGACCTGTATACTGCACGAGTCAAAAAAGGGCCTGTGAAAATATTTACAGACCCTTCACATCCTGGACATAAACTGTTTCAACTCCTTCCCTCAAAATGATGCTATAGAGCACTGCACATCAGAACAACTAGACACATGGACAGTTTTTTCCTGAACGCCATCACTCTGCTAAACAAATAATTCACTCAACATTGTCCAACTATTTACTAAGTCTGTATTACTATTACTATTAATCTTCTCATCACTGCTTATTGCCCATCTCCTCCCACTTGTGACTGTATGATGTAACTTTGTCGCTTGTATCCTTAGATTTATATGGACTGTTTCTTAGTATGATTTGATTGCTTATTGTACCTTATGACTATTATTAAGTGTTGCACCTGATGATTCTTGACTCTTGAGGAATGTATCTTTTCTTTTTATGTACATTGAGAGCATTTGCACCAAGACAAATTCCTTGTGTGTCCAATCACACTTGGCCAATAAAGAGTTCTATTCTATTCTATTCTATTCTATTCTATTCTATTCTATTCTATTCTATTCTATTCTATTCTATTCAATTCTATTCTATTCTATTCTATTCTATTCTATAAAAATGCTTCAGATCTAATCCAATGTTTCTTCCATAGAAGCAGTGGTGTGGACCCCAAAGCACTTATTGCTAAATTGTTATTTCAAATGAGATAGAAAGGCCCAAATGCTAGAAAAAGCATTCATTATATGAATTATAATAATATACAGGCAGTCCTCGACTTAGAACAGTTCACTTAGTGGCAATGGCACTGAAAAAAGTGACTTATTATTATTTTCCACACTTATGACCAACGGAGTCACATTTATGACAGTTGCAGTGTCCTGGGGTCATGTGAGCCCCTTTTGCAAACTTCTGACAAACGAAGTCAATGGGGAAACAGATTCACTTAACAACTGTATTTCTAATTTAACAACTGCAGTGATTCACTTTAACAAATCTGGCAAGAAAAGTCGTAAAACAAGGGCAAAACTCACTTAACAAATGTCTCACTTAGCAACATAGTTTTGGGCACAATTATAGTCATAAGTTGAGGACTACCTGTACATTGCCATCTATGATAACAAATATTCCTGAAAATACAAAGATGGGCCAATATTCTGAATGCTGAGTGAAGTCTAGTAACTTCTTCTGTTTCTTGGTTATGCCTATGGCTTCCATCCTTGGAAGCTTTGGGTTGTTGTGTGATCTTCCGGTCATTAAGATAACTTACTTTCCTTTGATGTTCCAAGAACAACTTTCATTAAAACAACAACAAAATATTTACTACTGTCATACTTATTTCCCAAATGTTTTCCTGAATTTTCATCTCCTTGGTGATCCACTTACTTTCATTGATACTCATTTTTCTTCATAAATACCCACCATATTTGTGCCATATAGTGATAATCCATTTCCAAAGAATATGTAAATGTCATTTGAAAGCATGTAATGACAAAGAAAGGCAGTTACATGCCTTCCTAGAGCCCTTAGGGTAAGAAGAAATCATAAAATTTGAAATGATTATTTGAAAACCAAAGCCTGTGGTATATTGTTACATGATATGTAAATAATGACAGCAGCCATATTGCACATCTAGGAAATAAATGTTAAGAGTCTGTGTCCAGATTGCTCTATTTGGAATGTGCAGGAAATATAAATTCTTAGCAAATTCAAAGTACAAACAGTGCAAATAAAAATATTTCGCATGAAAGGTATGGTTGCCACTGAGCTAGATCTGTGGATACCCGATTTCCCTGAGTTTCAGATCATATTCTTAAAATATGGCTAAATAATATGAAACATCTGTTTTATGTCTCAGTCCCAACTACCTCCTAGAATAGTTGTAACTAGGATTCTTTGAAAGTCAATAGCAGCCAGTCCAACTTTGGAGCTAGCAATCTTTTAAAATGCTAGATAAATCTGTGCAACAGAGCAGGTATCTCATGTAAATATTGTGTAACTATTATGTCAATATTTTAAACCTGGTCCCAAATATCATGATCTGACAAATTGTATGGAATTTTAGCAGAAATCTCAGCAAAGCACCTGTAGATCCCAAGCACAGACTTAATAAATTAATTGGTATCCAACTAATTCATTCAACACTAATGAACTAATAATCTGACAAATAAAACAGTGGTCTCTATTTTATATTCAGCTTTCTATATTCTATAGTCTTAGACAAAGTCTAAGAAGAGCACTGACCAGAACAAAAAAGTCATGTCCAAATGTTGTATAAGTGTGTCTGTGCAAGTTTTCAAGAATTTTTAAATCTATTTTTTTAAAACAATGTTGCCTAGTGAATCTTTAAATGGAACTACCCCTCAGGGTTCATAAGCAACAGTATTAAATTCTCTTAAGCCATAAAATTATATCTATATATTTTGAATTTTTAGAATGTTTTAAAATGTTTTCTTATTGCTAACCATGAACTGTGTGGTTCTGTATTTTTTTTCATGCATGCAGTTGAGTTGACCTTGTTCAGATCTGTGATCAAAACGAGTATATATATGCCGGAAATATTATGGGAAACGTATGACAGATGTGGATATACTCAGTCACCTTCCTCCTTTTGTAGAACTATCCTTAGTTTGAAAAATATTCTAGGGATCATGATTTGAAGTTTCCGTGGATAACGTGAGGATGGAGATCATACTGTTTAAGCAGAGTTGAACCAGAGTCAATATTTGAATGAGAATACCCTATTGATGGCAGTCTGAGCTTTTAGTGCAATGTAGTAGTAGGAATGATTTTATTTTTCATCTATAACTAGTGTAAACAAAATTATAACCTTAATCAGTACAAAATAATTCAGAACAAATGAATAGTCTGATAAGTTTAACTTATTTCATTATGTTTACTTGGAATTAATCTGGTTGGTATATCTTAACACTCAGTTTTAATATAAATATAAGAATGGGCCATCTATTTTATACAACAAACTTCAGTCTGATAATAATATTTTCATTTGACAAAAACTAGGCTAATATGGAGCCTAGTCCAGGTCCAGCACCATCCCAAAGAAAAATTGATGTTGAGCAACAAAATAATATTCATCTGTAATATGATTGTTTCTTTAAAATAAATCAATTTATAAATCCACGATGGGTACATGAGTATTGATCAAAGACATACCTTTAAAAACAGTATATTTTCATAGTTAGCATGAATACCAGATATCAATTGTTTATCTTGTTTTACAAGCACCATTCTATTGTGATGCATTTTCCTGAGTAGATTTCGTGAACAATTGACATGCAAAAATATATAATCAGCATGTCAAGGGATGTCTATTTTTTTTCACTGATGATAATAATAATCTTGGCCATATACATCATATCCATGCCCTTTGTAGTAACTATACTCATCCTCATAGTTTCTGAAGGTATCTCCTCGTGGGTACCCATTCTCACTGCCGTAATAATCAGTTTGGACTTCATATCCATTTGTGGTGGTGGCATCATGCACCCATAGATCTTCAGTGGTAGTGTCATATTGGCCCTGATCTGCAGGGCTGGTCCCATCCTGCCACTGTTCACCTGTAGTACTTTCAGTAGGGTTGACAGTTGTGACCAAGGTGGTTAGACTGATGGTTGTTGCTTCGTTTTCTTCCTCTTCTTCCTCCTCTCCACCATTTCCAGTTTCTTCTAGGGTGCTGTTTGTGCTGGTGGCATTGGCACCACTTCCATTTTCATCTACTTTCTCCTCTTCTTCCTCTTCGTTCTCCTCTTCCTCATTTTCATCGCTGTCTTCTTCCTTTGCACCTTTTTGGGGAGCATTATCTACCTTTTTATCACCTCCTTCTTTCCCTGGTTTCTGAAGAGGGTCTTTTACTCCTGGCATCTGTATTGATGCAAATAAAAAAAAAGTGGGGGGATAGTTAACTTGGGAACTATTTTATCAATGGCTAGAAAATAGAAGTAGAAGTTAGAAAATTAACTGTCAAATAGCATTTAAGGCGGAATTGTTCCTTTTAGGGATAATTAAAGGGATATATAATAAAAAGATAAAATATATGATCTTGCATATAACTACGTCAGCGAGGATCACATTTGCACAATATTGGAATAAGGGTCTAGTAATCCAAAAGATTTTAGAATGTGTGGAAATGGACAAACTCACCCTAGAGTTAAAAGGTGAAGAAGATTCAGAGTATTATGCGGTATGGGAAAATTGGTATGAATGGGTGGACAATAGGAATAAGAATTATAGAGATAAGAAGAAAGTATAGAAATGTATATAAATGATTAAAAATTTATGGATATGTGTATTTGTAACAAAGATGTACTGTTAAAGATGTGATTGAGATGTGTAAAGAGAAAAAAGTGCAATATAAATATTTTTAAAAATAAAATTAAGGAGGATATGTAAATAAAAATGAAGTGAGTATTTAAATAAATAATGTGAAGTTTATAAGGTCTGATATTTATTTGATTTGCCAATCGCTTACAAGATAATAGGTATAAGTATAAACATAGTTATGAATACATGAAATGGATACATATGAGAAAAATAAAAAGAAACAATAGGACAGGGACCGTAGGCATTTGGTGCGCTTATGCACGCCCCCTACAGACCTCTTAGGAAAGAGGTGAGGTCAATAGTAGACAGTCTAAGGTTAAAGTTTTTGGGGTTTGGGGAAGAAACCAGAGTCAGTTAGAGTATTCCAGACATTGACCACTCTGTTGCTGAAGTCGTATTTCCTGCAATCAAGTTTTGTGCAGTTAACCTTGAGTTTGTATCTATTGTGTGCTCTTGTGTTGTTATGGTTGAAGCTGAAGTATTCATTGACAGGTAGGACATTGCAATGTATGATTTTATATACTATACTTAGATTAGACCTAAGGCGGCGTAGTTCTAGGTTTTCTAGGTCTAGAATTTCAAGTCTGGTGGCATAAGGTATTCTGCAATGAGTAGAGGAGTGGAGAACTCTTCTTGTGAAATATTTCTGGACTTTCTCAACTGTGTTAATATCAGCTACGTAATGTGGGTTCCAGACAGATGAGCTGTATTCAAGTATTGGTCTAGCAAATGTTTTGTTAGTAGTGTGATATTACCAGAGAAAAAGCTACATAGGATTAGGTTAACTCTTAATGCCTTTTTGGCTATGTAGTTACAGTGGGCTCTAGCACTTAGATCATTAGAGATGAGTATTCCAATGAATTATATGATAAAACTGAACAGAGTGTTCAATTAAATAATGGAAAATGTTTAATAAGGGTAAGTGAAGATTATGGTGAACAGATTCAGAGAAAAATGGTTATAATTAATGTCTGTATAAGGTTTGTTATTTGTATTTGAAAGAGATTGTACCCAGACAGTACAGTGCCATTGTGGATATGGGAATTTTATGTTTAACAAAGGAAATTGCATAATAAAAAATATTTTTTTAAAAAGTGGGGGATAGATTAGGAAGCTAATTATGATCCACAAAGGTACCCATTCCCAGTATGTATGGTCTGATTTTAACCTTCACCAATATGGATTGTATAAAAATTATGGGAATCTTAAATTCATAAAGTTGAAAGACCCGCTTATACAACTGAATTCTTATTCAATGCATATAGACTGTTGCAAGCCCCCAAAAGGCCTCCTGGGTTTAGAGTTACAGTTCAATCTAGATAAGATGCTCAATTTCTGTATAATTCCAATTATGTTTGAAGGGAGAATCATTGTCTCTTTCCCCACTGATCTACTCTAAATATCAAAGACATGTGCCCTTCACAGGGTATGTCAGAATGACTTTCCTTCCGGGTTGCCCCAGGCCAAGTATCACAAAACTCCTATAACATGTTATGTGTGCTTTTGCGGCATGAAATAAATTGAAATGAGTACACATCTCCTTCTTTGGTGAAGATCTGAATTGGCCTTATACCAAAATTTAATGAGGATGATGATGATTTTCAAGTGCTGGGGAAATCAAGAGATTCAGGCAGTTCAAATGAGTATAAAGATTTATTGCAAGCTTCAGCTTTTTACAAGAATCTGAACTACTAGCAGTCAAGGAAAATGAGCGGGAGTTAAGAAAGGAATTCAAGGTGGGCTCGACTTAGATTTCTTGTCAAAGTGCAGGGACTCAGGACTGATGATGCATTTGACCCCTCCTTTGGGCTTAGTAATAGGCAATGGTGATCCCTGCAGCCTGAAACAGCTGATCGTCGGGAGGCTGATCCAACTGACAATCAGCTGCTTGTGCTAAATCAGGCTGTGCTGAAGCTGACCAGGCTGTTTGCTGCGAGGAAGCAAATTGCTGGGAGACAGAGACAGATATTTCCCCCCACCACTGCCTTTGTTTTCCCCAAAAGCTAAGTGTGTCTTATACTTTGGAGCATCTTATAGTCTGAAAAATATGGTAGTTTCCTATTAGCCAACAAGAGGTTTCAGGTACTTTTTAACAACCCCAAATTCTGTTCTATAGCCAAAAATGTAGCAGATGATGATGATGCATCCTAAAGCTCAGCTTCCTGCTATGCCTTTTTGTCTGTCTGTCTGTCTCTGTCTGTCTGTCTGTCTGTCTGCTTGTTTTAAAGCTCTTTGACCATGACAATGTTTTTATTTGATTTGGTGCATTCCAAATTCCCATAACTTGCTCACCTCTGCGGGAGGTTCTGCATTTCCATCAGTCTTCGTATCTCCAGCTGCAGGTGTAGTGGGAGCCACCGTAGTCTCTTCACTTCCCTTTCCCCCTTCATTTTCTTCATTTGACTGTCCCTGTTGGGGCATTAAACAATATGAATATCACGCTGCGTATTATTTCAAAAGATACATAAATGAAAACTGTGATAAAAATCAACCATTCAGGTATTCAGACAACTGAATACTGGAGACACATGAACAATATATAAGAGCTTTATTATGAAGCTTTTGCAAAAGGGAATTCTGCCCATGGGCAGAAAACATTTTCCCCAGGAGGGCTGGGTTTTTTATACAGGTTCAAATATACAGTCTCTGCCCCTTTCCTCGGTTCACAATCTATCCAAGCTACGTATCATCCTATGCAACACCCCTGTTATTGTAGCATAACGTCTGTTTCCTTGTCCTGTTTACCCGTTTCCATTTCCAGTAATCTCCATCATTAACATGACGCTGGTTAGTGTAACCTGCCAAATATGTAACCTTCATACAAAACAATAGAGAATTTCAGTAAATTATCTTAGGTTAACACAGAGGTTAAAGATGGTGTTACCATTGCTTCATATTTTCACAGGTATAATTCTATATATCACAAAAACACTTTAATTATCATATTTGCTATCAATATTTTCATAGTACTAAGCTTATAAAACTACTGATACAAGGTAGTACATACTTCAACTTGAAACAATCCCATCATCTCAAATCCACTCAAGCCACTAAATGACAATGATAAATATTTGAATCTAAGGTAAAAATGGGGCTTGATACCTTTCCTAAAATTAGAACACAGTTCCTACATAGATCTCAAAAGAACAAATCCCGTTCTTGGTAGAAATGGAGGTAGATAGGTTGATAGATCATTTCCTCTATATGTTAGGGGTGTCAAACTTGATTTCATTGAAGGCCACATCAGGATTGTGTTTGACCTTGACGGCTGGGTTGGGCAAGGCCAGGGGCCATGGCCATCTTGACATCACTCATGTCAGGGACTTATCTGATGGCCCAAGTGCTCTGCTAGTGAAAACGGGCTTCTGAACTCCGTTTTCAGCCTCCTGCCACCCTCTGCCAGTGAAAACAGAGCTCAAGGGGGACCACACACACACACGAGTTCTGTTTTACTGGCAGAGGCACTGCAAGCCAGTCCTTTGTTGTTTCTAGGGCAACCCCACAGGCCAGATTTAAGTACCCCGCAGGCCAGATCCAGCCCTTGAGTTTGACACTCGTGCCTGTCAAGTGCCTGGAATTCTTATCTAGTGATATGTACAAAAGGGCTTCTCATACAAATCTTAGTCCCTAGATAGTTGGCTAAGCAGTCAAGTTACAAGTTTCTAGAAAGGGCAATCGACAGTGGTTTTCTTACAATTCTGGTGCTTATGATCATGATTGGTGTGGAGAACAGAATATTTTCTGAAGTTGTTCCTGTGGCATCCCTGCCCTTATAAACAAGATTCTCAAATGGTAGCATTCCAATTTTCATTGGCAATTTCAAACTACTCCCCAAAGCTGATATTAATACCTAATTGTAGTTTTGGAGGGATGTACTATAGGACACATGGTATAAAAGCCATCAATCCATGACCTGATATTTGAAGGATACCCTGAAAAAATTTAGTCTAAAATTTTTGGATGAAACTGAATCTCAAGCATAGTTGCTTGGAACTCTGATAATATCTTTCTACAAAATTGGCAGAACGTCATGTTTTGCAATATTATTCTAGCACACTGCTGGTCAGACCAACCTAAATATTTATATGTGAGTGAAGCTGCACTTAAGATCAGATGGTTAAAATGCTTAAAAATAAGTTGAAATGTGATACCATAAAAAAAATTGAAGTTATTTTCCTCTCAATCGAAAGGACTTGCAAAATTGCAGGGTGTGGCTAACTATTTGGATAGCTACCAGAGGTCACCGTGACCCCCATATAACAGCAGTTATAGGATTATTTATTTAAATGTTGTTGAGGTTCAAGACAGGACATAGCCTGGAATAAAACCACTGAAATGGATTTGAGAAAGACAATAACTTCATGAAGTCAAGTGTCTGAATGTGTTGAAAACTCAAAGTTAGAGTACCTATTGCCCTATTGATGTCTCTCTCCAACCTCTACATATTTAGGCAAGAAATCTGAAGGGATGATGTACATAAATGCGTGTGTGCATTTTAGAGTTTTGTTTTTTTTTTAAAAAAATCCTACCTTTATACTTTTATGGTTAATTCAAGGTTGCAAACATATCTAATATTCCTTCTTCCTGCTATTTTCCCCACAACAACAATGTTATGAGGTAAGTTGGGCTGAGAGAAAATGAAAGGCCCAAAGTCACCCTGCCAGCTTTTATGCCTAAATTGGGACTGGAATTCATGGTCTCCTTGTTTCTGGTGTCCTAACCACTAAACTGGACCAGGTCTCATAAACTCAACTTCCCCTTGTACAAATTGGCTCTCATGCAGTGATATGGTAAGGTATTCATTACCTTTCTTGGTAATGAAATATCTGCAACAAGAAAACAAACTCAGAGAACACTAGAAACCCCACAAGTCAACTCTGAGCTACATATATTCTGCACCATTTTCTGAAAATAAAGTCCCTTGGAGTCCACACTGGCTTGATGGCACATCATCAAGCAAAACCAAATCCACACTCAATAGCAGTTATGAGGTTACCTAGTCAGGTAGTGAAACGTCTGCTTCCAAGGACTCCACAGTTCAACCTTGAACCTATTCTCTGCTGTTGGTACTGTGTCTACTATCAGGCCTGTCTGTCTGTCTGTCTGTCTGTCTGTCTGTCCATCTGTCTACCATTGATCTCCTTAATTCAGGCCAGTTTCTTGCCACCCAACTGAGCAGAATACTTATTTCTCATTTTTGATGGCCCATCCAGAATTTTGTTGCTTGCAGATCATGACAAAAATAGAAAGGCTTCCATGTACCTGCCAGCAGCCATACTGTACTCATTATTTGTAAAGGTTTTCTTAAAGAATTACTATGGATCATTCATATATATATGAATTCAGTATTCAGCTTTGTTCGGGTATCTTCCCACATCATTATAGTTGTGCTTTTAAAGTTGTAGCAACATTTCGGCAGAATCTCATCTGCCATCATCAGGCTTCTGTATTGTGTTCGTCTGTGATTCAGACTTTTACAGTTGTTTCAGTTTTAAATTTTGGGCTAGCCTGCTGCTGTGCCAGAATGTTTTTTTCTTCATCCTGATTGGTTGAGAATCTTGTTCTGTGTTTATTGGTCTTGGAATTTGCTGTGTTCTGCTTGATTGGTGTTTCTAATATCTTCTGTCTGTTTTGTGGCTTTTTTTGTCTTGATTGGCTGGCAACATTGTGTTCCTGTATTGGAGGCTTTTAGTGTGGCTTGGCTCTGAGTAAATGGACAGCTATCATTTATTAGGAAGCTAGGTTTCATCTGGGTGCCTGGCTGGGGTGTGTTTGAGCTGGAGGTGTCAGGGGGATCTGTTTGTGCCCAGGTGTTTGCCTGGCTTCTGGTGTGGAGATTTTTTTGTTTGTGAGTGCAGGCTTCCAAATAATTGACAGTCTGGTGGAATCATCTCTTCTATTCATGCTTTCAGGTCTTTTTTCAACCTGTTCAATCTGTCACGAACGCAATACAGAAGCCTGATGATGGCAGATGAGATTCTGCTGAAATGTTGCTACAACTTTAAAAGCACAACTATAATGACATGGGAAAATACCCGAACAAAGCTGAATACCATACATGTAAGTACCCGTGAAAACTTAAGAAAACAAATACACACACACACACACACACACACACACACACACACACACATATATATATATATATATATATATATATATATATAGAGAGAGAGAGA